GTTGAAATGTTCAACCCCGAGGTTGAACTCAGCCCTGGGTTGAAATTTTATCATGTAATCGTTTCAACACAGGGGTTAAAAATTATCATGAGTTATTCGAGCATACGTGGTAGTGACTATTTATTACAAGAAAACAAAATAAAGGCTTTTTACTTCCGAGAATCGATGCCGAGAACGTATAGTATAGCGTTTCAACCCCTGGGTTGAAATCGTCCATGTAATCGCAAAAAATTTCAACCCGGTTAACAGGGCTGAGTTCAACCCCGGGGTTGAAAGTTGTCCATGTAATCGGCCGCTAAGTTGATTAAAGCTATACCAGGCGAATAATATTTGCAACGCATTTGCGAATAGTAATTATCATTTACATTGTTCGATCTTTTCTCACGCATGTTCAAATAGTAAAAAGGTCCAAATCGTGAATGCTAGTCAAGCGATCAAGGTCTTTTTTTGTCGGTAGGAAAGAATTACTAAAGCTACTGTTTTTAAATAAATTATTAAATTTAGTGGGCCAAAGGTTTGAAAAAGGTAGTTCTCGAAGAAGAGCTATATTAGCTCTTTAGACTCATGTTTGCCATGACGGTAAATTACGAAAATTCCACTTAGCTGTTGAATTGAAAGGATTAGTCCCTACGTCCCTGTTCATTCATTAAGGTCGTGATTATCATTGATTTTGATTGCCCTTGCTTCTTTAGTCTTCCGGAGATAGATTGTAGAATTTTTTGTCCAACAATAACTGAACAGATTTAATTTTTTTTGCAGCCACCAAAAGTTGTTGACGTTTTGGGGTTAAATGATCGTAAATCCCAGCATATTCCATTGATGTTTCTCGAGATAGGCCAGCGCGAGTTGGGTCTATTTTCTTTATGTTTTGTCTCACGGCCATAACTTGCTCCCGTGCTAGGCGGCGAACAAATTTGCAGACAATCGGTTTTGGCTGACTGCCATTACTCCTTCGTGGCTTTACGCGATGAGCAATATATTTGTCTGCAATAGACACATTTGCTCCTACGGCATTGAAAATGTCGACACATAGCTGGCTTGTTTCAGCTGCAGTTTCATTCGAGCTGGATTCCGGTATTCCCAACAGTTTCACGTTATATGCGTAGCTGTATTACTCGGCTTCGTCAATAGATTTGGAGAGATTTTCGACCTTTTCTGCTAATACAGTTAGGCGAGATTCCAGTCGCGACATTTGTTGTTTAGACGAATTTTGAAAACGGTGCAAATCATCATACTCATTACTCAAATATTCCAGACTTTTGACTGATTCTTTATCCAGCGCTGAACTTGCCATTGCGGCGTTTGTAGTGCTCTTGGTTTCACTGGATTTAACATCCTGTACAAACTTCTTGAAATCGTTCTTGATTGATTCGATTTCAACCCTTAACTCGTCGTTTTCTTTCTTTAAAGATTTTATAGTGTCCTTTGAAATTTTAGTAGATTTTGAGCTAGAGCTGAAGAGCACAGAAATTCGCGTCCGTACTCACTCGAGCACCACCACCAAACTTATGATGACCTTCCCCCGAACTTCCCACCCCGGCCCAGTTCGATTTTCGTCCCTTTTAAGATTCTTGCGTCAGATTCTTGCGTCAAATACGATATAGCTTGAAGTTCTTTCATGGCCATGCCCATGCATGCTCAATCATGATTTTCGGAAATGCGAATACAATTTATATTTTGTGATACACAAGATGCTGTGTATTAGATATACAAATTCCAGACAATTTCACCACTGTGGAACGTAGTGATTTCAATAATTCTGTCAGCAGATACTATTAGAGAAAATCAAGGAAACAGTTTTATAGGCAAATCAGGAGAATTTTGTATACGTGGATAAAAAATTATGTATATGTGGATCAACAACACCTTTGGTTTGAATTTTTCTTCATTTCTCTTTCTTCGTCTTGTATTCCACGTTGGTCAAATTTAGCAAAATTTCTTCCATTCGTGCGGGCTCGTATTGTCAGCGGACATCTTATTGATTTTTTTACCGCAAGTCCACTGAAAATGCGAGCCTGCGGTACTGGTAGAAAATTTGCTGAATATGACCAGCGTCGTTGCTCAATATTACCATCATGAACTGGCTGCATCATCTTTGGACATTCTTTCTCGTTATTGTTGGCCATGGCGTTAACTTTGCCTTCACTTCCAAGCGAAAGAATTTCTTCGTTGCTTCCTGCCTCGATGATATTCTTTGCCAAATCCAACGATCCATTCACTTTTTTTACGTAATTTATGTCGCCATGCTGTTTCAAAAGCTTTTGATTGACCTCCTTGTACTTTTTGTCAATTTGGACAAGAAAGACTACCATGCATGTTGTTTCTTATTTTTTTTGTCAAACACTTCCAAGATTGCTTTTTCTTGTGCCTTTCTGGTGTTGTCTTGTAGATTCTGGGTAACGTGTTTTATTTTCTGTAGGGCATTCTGACCTTTGTTGCATTTCTTTTGTAAGATGGCTGATGTCGCCTTCAAGGCTTTCTTGTGAAGCTCTGCCACTACAGCGATAGATTGATGCCAATGATGCCTATGATGGTCATGAACAGCTTGCACATGATCTACAGTAGAAGGACACAGTTCATACAAGCCAGTTCGTGATACTGATGTATTGCAATAGAATTGAAGTGCTTTATTCCCACGGTCATGTTTTGGCAACGTGGTTTGTCTTTCGCCTTTTCTTGGGTTTCAGGTTTTTGCTAGCTCCTCCAAAGTCATACAATGTGATCTTTGAATTCACGCCAGTTGTTGTGCGTTGTTAGGCAGTTACAACACAGGTAACGTTCACACTCAATGCATCTACATGCAGCAGGCAGTCGAGCATGGCAGGATTCACAAGGTATAGCTTTTGTGCTTGTTGTTGTATTTTTAATATGTCGAGCATATATATTGTTGATAAAATAGTTGGATGGTAATCCTTCCTTTCGACTTGTCTGAATTGGAATTGGGTTCTGCAGGTAGGACAGCTGGGGTCTACGTTATTTTTGGGCTTCTTCGCGTTGAATTTCGGCCGCATACCTCGCAAGACATGTTTTACAAAACGAATGATAGCAAGGCAGTGCTCTTGGCTCGTCCAAAATCTTCAGGCAAATACAGCAGGTCAAGAGTTCTTCTATTCGTTGGGTAGGAGGACAGGTATTTCTTGACAAATTGTCACTAGATTGTGATGTATCATCTCGCCAGCACTACCGAGTTTACATTAAAAATGAAAGCTCTCTCGGAATTGTGTTGTTGTTTACAAATAACTATTTTTCTCAGTAAGGATTGGAATCCCTGCTAAGAATTAATAATAGCCAACCGTATTGCTTTATTTCGCTCATATGATAATACTGGATACCTGGTGAAGTATATTGGTTCAGTCCTATAGGACTGGATCAAAATTAATTCACCTCACTTTAAGTAGTGATTTATTCTTATGGGATGTTATTTCAAATCCTGCAGTGCAATTCGGACTGGACTAGATTTCAATTTTGAGTCAGTCCTGCATGGGCTTTCGTCAGACTTATCAAATTAGTAAATTACGTGGAAATGAAATATAGTCCAATCCTCATGATCGGATTTGAAATATTACTTCAAAAGCATCTTAAGGATGATCGGCGTTATCTTAAGCCATGCATAGAGGAATAATTTATTCAAATGAAAATTTTGCATTGGTTATAAATACCTTCAAGGGCGGGCCACTGTCCACTGATCTGCAAAAATGACGGGTTTCAATTAACCTTTCTCACGATGACGAATATCCGCCATTTTTGGGTGGCATCTAATTCTCGTTAACCAATGCCGACAATTAAAACAATGTGAAAAGCAATTTTTCAAAATAAACTAACCATTTACAAAGCAAATTTACCATTATTTGTCAAGAAAATTATAAAAAGTCGCTGTTAGGTGGACTTATCTCGCACACTTCCGCTGAAAAGTCACCCAAAAATGGCGGCGTGAGAAAGGCTAATTGTCTAAGAACAGAGATGGATTTCTGTTGTCTATCTACTGTTTCATTTAAATATTATTATCGTCAATAGGGTGCTCAGGGGGCTGACAGAACCTCTCTTGTAAAAAATTTCATGTTTATTTCAGGGCTGCAGGCCTTCCAAAATTTTCGCAAATTGCATGCATAATCATAATGATTAATGTGAAACATGATTTGCAACTGTATAGGTTTGAAATTATGAATGCAGTAATCATTTTAGTACTCTATACTGGTCTGACAACTATGGCCTTACCATTAGATATATAATTTATGTGGCTCCAACATGAAATCGCTTCGGTACATCGAAATTAAAACGTTTATTCCCGCAATTATTTTCCAAGCATATGTTGCACCTCCACGTACGGCTTGTCTCCACCACGTGTTCTAAACCCATCTCCCCTGGTTATTGTTTCAGTTGTACACCATTCTGATGTCTGGCTTCAGTTGCTGGTCAATGGTCTCAGACGTCTTCCCGGTACTTGCATCCATTATAAAGGCTGACACCTTGCATGGGACGTGTTCCGTTCGTGTCCAGCCTTATTTGCATGTTGTACTGAATTAAAGTTGTTAAAACAAATAAAACAAACGTTTTGGGATAAGTTTAGTTTGTCTTTCTTTTTTAATGCAACCAAGCTAAAGTTATAAATTTTCTAACAGAATTAAGAAAATCATAAAATTTTGCATTGATTTAATACTAATGACAACATAATTAATGATATTAAAAAGTCAAAGAATACAAGACTTTAGTTTATATATAGAGAGGATATTACACGGCGAAAACAATACTGTTTTTAAGACGAGAAGATAAAAGCCGTATCTTCAAGCCAACGTGTAATGCTCTGTTTATTGTATAGTCCCAGGCAAGAAATTGTATAATTACTAAAAGTTACGTAACTTTTACACTATAATTGTTAATTATTACATTTCACTTTATTATATGTAGTAGAGAGTGATACTGAAAAATACAGTGGATGAGGTTTTTGTGATATGCGGAATTATCAATGTGAAGGTAAGCGTTATCAGCCGAGATAATTCACATATCGCAAAAACCGAATTCAACAATTGTTTTATTATACATTTAGCATTTCTTTGTGTTAAACAGACACCGCTTGTTAATCATCGCAGGCTCATTTGCAGATAACTCAGTTATCTGCTAGCAGATAACTGAATTTTCTGTAGGTTGCGTGATTTAACTGTAAGCTCTTAGACAATGAAATTGCTTTTACTAACTATACAATGTATAATAATAAATGTTATCTTATACTACAGTATATTGCATGGCATGCAAAACTACAAAGAACTTATTAATGTCACAAACACAGAAGCTTTCTTTATATACAATTAAATTAACAATACTATTACAGTAAATGAATACAACTTTAGTGCATCAAACTATGTGATCTTATACATGTCTAATAACCAATAAATGTATTGTATATATAAGCTTATATACTCCTCATACATCAACATCTTACTGCATCAAGTCTATATGTTATCAGCTCGTTGCGGTCGTAAAATCACTTGCAGATAATTTTCACGTACGCTTTCCAGGGGCGTAGGGAGCATCAAAAGATGGGGGAGGGGAGGTTTCTAGGGGCACTTTTGGAATGAAAAAGGCACCTGAAAAAATTTTCCGTAAATATTAGGGCGGGGAGGAAAGGAAAAATAATTGCAATCATATAAAATGCAATCTGAACAATCTGTAATCCACCAGAAAGAAGGCATTTTTTTGTATTTTCTGAAAACTTGGGGGGGGGGGGGCTTGGTCACCCCCGGTTCCTACGCCCCTGACGCTGTCTCTACTCTCTATACATATACTCAGGACTAAGACACAGCCCATGCATGTACTGAGCACATCTCACTGCATATGTAGCTACGAGATCCAGGCATTCGAGATAAATTCCCCCATGTAAAAAGTATACTGACCGTGTGTTTGCCAAATTGTCGAGTTGAAAGCACAACGAGATTTGTCAGTGCCACCGCGCAATTAGCTATTGTTTGAAACTTTTAAAATAACCAAATTGACCCAGCAAGCAGGATATATAAATTTTTCATTTAATTCAAAACTTGCTTGCCGGGTGTCTTGTTCAACTGGCCAGTTTAGCTTCAAATCGGCATGTGTCAAAACTATTTTCGTAACTTATTTTATCAAACATGCTTTACCTCACACAAAAAGGTTGATAGCAACAGTTGTTTTCGACATTTTAACAGGCGCGATTACTAATTCAATATCGGAAATTAACGTCAACAATGAACAAAGCCCACTAAAGCGACGAGTCATCGCGTATGCATGATTATAAAATTATTAAAATTCGTTAGTCGTAAGCGAATTTGGCGAGCTTGTTCACTTGTTGATGTTTCTAATATAGAATTTGCGACCGCGTCTATAAATGTCAAAAACAACTATTGCTTCCAACCTTTTTGCGTGAGGGAGTCACGTCACGCGTAAAACTGCTGTGACTATTATCTTTGCTTTGTCTGCTATTGTCTTCAGTTTTCATATAGAGGCCAGGGCCGGTTGTACGAAGGCTGGATAGCGCTATCCATCGGATACTGATCTTCTCAAACTTTCTAAAATTGTCTCTTGATTAGTATAACCTATAAATTAAAGCTTCAGTAAAATAGTTTTAAGATACATATCCGTTATTTTATAGTATTTCAAGCATTTTTACAACGGTTGAAAAAATCTTTGGCGTGGATAGCGCATTCTGGCCTTCGTATAACCCATCACAAGTCAATTAAGGTTACGAGCCACATTGCAGTTATTGTTCGCGGACGGTAGAAAAAATTTTCTTTAGCTAATAAAACTTTGTTTAGCTAAGTTTTTATCGACATCCTGGGATCCTAAAGTGAACTTTTTGGAAAGTATCATACCAGTACAAAAGTGTGTGTGGCAGTTATACATGTATAGGCTATCTTATTTTTGTCGTGTTACATAAAACGTTTAATTCCAAACTCTCGTCCTTACTTGATTGTTTTGTGTTGAGACGCCAATAAAAAATGAAAAATATATGATAAGCTCCAGGATAAATTTATACCTCTAATTGTTTTTGCGCCCCTCATGTGAAAATTGGAAGGAAACTGGACAAAACTTCAACTTAACAAAATAATTACTTAAATATAGCATGAGGTTTTCGATTATCAGAACAAATAAACATCGTCCATTTTCTTGGAATTAAATGGGGTGACACCTTCTGAAAAGAAACTGTTTATTCTCATTGTAACCGTAGTTCAATTATACGGTTAGGTTACAGCTAGTAGATAGAGCGTATATCGGTTACATAATGCATTGACATTCACCACGATTTTTCTTTTCTATTTGAGGCATTAAAATCCGCAAATTGCTTAAAAATTGTTTCAACAAACTCTCGTCAAAACAACGTAAATGTTGCCTGCATTATAGTCGACTCTCATTGAAGCAGAAAGAAAACGGGGAAAAAGGGCTTGTAAGAAAACCTGGCTTTCGTGACTAAACAAACCAAGTTAAGACTTTATAACGGCGAAACCCTCGATCTCAGTTGGTTTGAATTCGAAGCTTCCCGCCAGTAGAGCTTTGGTTTGTGGAGTACCATGTTGGTATCCTTTAGGAGGTTGGTATGTCTCACCAAGATTGCTGTATGAAAGATCGTGTTCGATGGCTTTTTCTCTGATGAACAGATCAGCAGCACTACCAAAGTTTGGGCCACAGTTTGGGCCACAGTAGATTGCATGGTCATATCCACAAGCATAAATTGGACATTTGAATGGAGGTAGGTTGTCTTTATTTCGAAGGGAAAACAAAAACGAACAATTGGAACTTTTATAACCACATAATGTACCTGAAAAAAGTAAGAAATATTTATATATATTTGGATATTCAATAAAAAATTGTATACATGAACAAAGACGTAATCAGAAAAAGCGGATGTAGCGGATTTCTATCATCGAAATTAATTTTTATCTGATAATAGTGATAATAATTCTCTAATAAAAAGTAAACACCTAAATATATTAGTATAAGTTCCAAATAAACAAATAAGTCCCTGATAATCATACCTCGCACTAATTAGTTGTTTAATGCTGTGTGAACAATATGGGGTCACTCATACTTGAAAGAACGACTTAACTCTCCATAATGACTTAACAAGAATGACTTTGTTGAAGTTGTACACAACGTAGTGTTTAATAATTGATTAAACATTACCGTTGTGTACAAGTTCAATAAAGTCATCCTTATTAATTTTGCAATTGGGCATTTTTTAATTCAATGGAGGTTAAGTCGTTCTCAAGCGTGAGCGACCCATTCTTCACACCGCATTAAGCAAAATACCATAGGTCTAATTAGTACTAGGTGTGATTATCAGGAACTTGTTTGTTTAGAACTTATGCTGATATATTTAGGGACAACTTTCTTTTTGTGCGGTGTTTATTTTCATTCATAGCACGATTGGCTCCGTTTTGTTCGATGTACCGCGATGGTTACCCCGAATTGCCACTTCATAGGAAATACGCGGGATTAATTTTACATATATAATCCCGGGGCTATAATGAATTTATAATTGCCGAAAGACACAGAATCGGCCATAATCTGTGGTGAAGAGGCAACTACAAACTCAAGCCCCAAACCTCCTTCTCGTCAAGATAAACGCTTTACGTCTTTATCACAGAGTGCTAAGGATACAGAGGTCTCACTTCGCGAGAAAACTGCGCTTATCTGGTGGCCATGTCCTTAGCAAGTGCCTTAAAGAGAGGCATTCAGTGACGTAACGGAGGAAGAGGGGCCCTTAGGCATATTTTGTGGTGGGTGTAGTGACTGACAATGACCGCTGACCACATGAACTGGGTTATGGAAAAAAGGACATGTGTTAGGAAAACAATCGAACGGACTAGAAAGTTATTGTAAAGTTTATATTCACGTTATGTTTCATTATGTTCTATGCATAAAATAAAGGACACAACAATGGCGTAGTCGGCAGAGCCCGCCTCCGTAAACATTCTTCAAGCCATTTGATATCCTCAACTGACATTCTCGAACAGAAACAAACTATTTTCGTCGCATCAAAGTCAAGATAATTTCGCAATGGATTTCGCTACCCCAGCAAAGTTCGACGTGTACGACGGGCCAAACAACGTGGTTCATCGCTGGGAAAGGTACGTGAAATTAGTCAAAATCTATCTCGCCGCAAAAGGAATAAACGCTGCTCCACGACAAAGAGCAATCTTACTTCACTGTGCAGGCAGCGACGTTCAAGACATTGCTGAGAATAACATTACGGACACGGGAACAGACTTTGCAACTTTAACAAGTAAACTCACCGAATATTTCGCGGCCCAAAACAATGTCGTCTTCGAAAGATACCAATTTCGCCAATGTACACAACTAGAGGGTGAAAGAGTCGATTCTTGGCACACCAGACTTCGCATTAAAGCCCGAATGTGTGAATATGACAACCAAACTGATAGTATAATCCGAGATCAAATTGTCGCTTGTTGTTCTTCCACTAAACTCAGGCGTAAACTGTTG